GCAAGTATGGTGATTAAATGTTGGCAAAGACAGAGATGACTTTGGCAAAGGCTGTAGCCACTCATTTGGATAGAAAACATGGTTTGCATGAGGCTGTGGGAAGTTTTGTATATGCATCATTTTAAAGAATGATAGTAGGGAGTCTTCAATATTTGACCCTCACAAGACCTCATATCACTCATGTTGTGAATTTAGCAATCCAATTTATGCAAAGCCCAAACGTTGAACATTTTCAAGGAGTAAAAATGATACTCAAGTACATCAAAGGTACTCTACACTTTGGACTTAGAATTATTTCACAATCACCATGTAGGTTGTATGACTACTCGAATGCTGATTGGGGAGGTTGTAGAATAACTAGGAGAACAACTACAAGTTTTAGTATCTACATAGGTGCAAATTTTATTCTTATACCTCGAAGAAACATAGAACAGTAGCTCGATCGAGCGCTGAAGCTGATTATAGAGCACTAGCCTCCACTGCCGCAGAAATTACTTGGATTTTATATCATCTTCATGACATTGGAGTGTTCCTTCAATATGTTCCTACATTGTATTAATATAATTTTAGTGTGTTTTACATGACGGTTAATCCAGTTATGCATGCTAGAACCAAACACGTTGAACTAGACTATCATTTTGTTCGTGAGAAAGGGGCAGGGGACAACTTCTTACTCAATTTGTAAAGTCTAAGGATCAACTAGATGATATTCATACCAAAGCCTTAACAAAATAGGTTTTTTTTTCTGGTTTTTGCAGTAAGCTAGGAGTTACAATTTCTCTACTCACTAGGTTGAGGAGAAGTGTTGAAGAAAGCTTGACGAGTGAATGGAACACGTCGAAGGAACAAGTCCATTGAAGCAAGCTGACGAGTTAGAGTTAGATTCATACTAGGATTAGACTACTAAATCCTAATTTTGTACGATTAAGAAACTGAACATTGTAGGAGTTGATTAAGATAATGTATTTCACCTGTAATAAATTACTACTCATGTAATTATTTGTATTGTAGTAGGACTCCTACTATAACTAGAATATGACTCTTCTCCTATCTAAGAAGTTTGTAACTCAACATTATAATCATCAATACATCCTTGATTTATACATACTTTTGTGAGATTTCTACACTATCTAATATATTTTTTACTTGTCATTTGCTTTCAACACTCTCTACGCCACCTGAAAAAGATTTAATACTTAAAAACTTGATTATGTTTTTCCATAACTATTTCTTTTTGGAATTCGTGGGTTCTAGGACTAAATAAGAATCATTCTCTTTCTTTTAGTTAGATTTCTAACATGATGTATTAAATATATCAAAAAAATATTGTTGTAGTTTATTAAATGCCTATTGTAAAATATTTTCCTTTCTTCAATCTTAATAGTGGTTGTCTAAAATCTTATGTCATAATAGAATATAAAATTTTGTGTCTATAACAAGCAAAAATGGGCTAAAAAGTGAAGACTTGATGTGCACCAATAAACTTAAAAAGAAATTAGGGCTTTAGCGAGATTCAAACTCTAGTTTTGTAGGTAATTTCTCTAGGAAAAGGATAGCTCTACACTCATTAAGAGTGCGCTGTTAGTTATATCTTTTTTTTTCGTCAGAGATAGATATAGATGTATATGCGCCCACACATATGAATGTGGGTTCGCCTGTGATAACAAGATAAAGTTACTTCTTGAGTGAAAATCATTATTTCAAGTTCCAGGCTTTGATACGACATGTAAAAGCATAAATATTTATGCTAATAAAGAAACTAATATATATACATACTAGAATTTTGAACGACCATATTTGAGGCAGAAAACGAAATCAATGTCCCTTTGACCTATCTTACGCTACTGTAACTTTCGTGATTGAATCGAGTGGAGGTAGTAACCCTAATGATTATAAAAGGACCAATTTGTAGGATTTCACGGAAAATGTTATTATTTTTGTTGTGCAAAATGTAATCTAATGAAATGGAGAATCTATTTAATTATTAAAATAAAATAAAACTTATATGGTACAACTTATTTATGATATGTAATTATCATATTAGTAATATTTGTAGTGAATGCTAAAAATAATTACTATTTATAGCTAATCTTTTTATTTCATAGAAAAATTGTAAACACACATGACTATCTACAATTTGGTTGTAACATTAGGAATTTCATGGCTAATCTTCATTTGTGCTGTTAAATCGCGACTTATCCAAAACAGGATAAGTATTTGGTAGTTTTTAATTAGTTTTTCTTGTTTAAGTGCATTTGTTTAATTGATTATTCTTCTATTTTAATCTTAGGCATTGTTAGGGACGGTAATTAAGGAAATTGGATCAATTTTAGGTCATTTATAATGAGTCAAGACAACAAATGGGTCAAGATCCAATCCGAACTGAATTTGATTGGATCAATATGAATTGAGCCAAAACTGCGCAGATTATGAGTCAAGAGACAACTCAACTCAAATTTTTCTAAGTTTAATTATTTTATTAGTACTTTAAAATATTTTAGTACACAATAATGTTATTGATAAAAATATTTTATGAATATGTATAAAAAATTCATACTACTACAAACCTCTAAATTTTTCATGGTCAGCTAAAAAATGGTAATTAAAGAAGTGAAATTTAAACGCCTTACAATGTGCAAAGACATTTATACTAAGGAATTTAAAATTTATATATAAGCACCAAAAAAAATCTTTTATACATCATATAAATTTGATGTCAAGAAAATTCAAATGAATATACCTTTGCTCCTTCTAGATTCGTTCTTACATAAAAATAGTTAAAATGTACAGATTTTGTGTCTATAATCATGAACAAATGATATCTCTTGGTATTTTCTATATCTCTTATACATAAAAATGACGATTTCCTATAATTAAAAAAGTCATAACATCAGAAATTGAATTTGTAACTGGCCTACACAATCAAATTTAACTATTTTGAGGTATTAAATGTCACATGCAAAAAAAATTAAGTGGATTAAATTGGACAGATAAAAGTAAATTTTCAGTAACTAAATATACATGCCAATTTCTCTAAATAAATAATCACATTAATTTTTACTTTATTTTCCCCTTAATTTATGTGATATTTACTCTTTTTTTAGGTTGTTTCGAAAAGAAAGTCTTTTCATAGTCCTATATTAATTGTTGACTTTGTTATAGATAATTCCTCCAATCATTTTGATCTGATCTATCCTTAAAATTATTCCTTTTTTATTTTGTAAATGTAATGAAGTTTGTAAACCTTCAGAAAAAGATTCTTAAAGTCCAAATTAATGAAATTTATCATTTTTATTTATGATTTTTTGTAATGAGAAAAACAAATAACTAATATAAAATAAAAACGACATATTTTCACTCTAATTTTTAATAAAATAATTTATAATCACATTAATATCTAATTTTTATTATGATGCTCCAAAATAAACATCAACACAAGAACCCCAAATTGAATGATGCTTCATCGAGTTTCTTCTTCACAGATGAGGACGAATCATGTCCGACATAAATACTTCTTGATCTAACTTGGACTAATCCCTTAACAGGAAAGAAATACCTACTAGCCAAAAAGTAAGTTTCCACTCAATGATTCAAGCTCCCTAAGAGAATTCAACACACAACATAACTTTGAAATAAAAAACCAAAGTCTCAAATCATACATCAGTTAAGAACAAGTATGAATGTAAAAACCATCTCTGTTACCAAACAGAATATTCAAAACATTCACAATTCTATGTTTCCAAGAAGATAAAATCTTTTTAGTATCTTAAAGAAAAGGCAAAACAAAGCCTTACTACTCCATCAACCAAAGGTCTTGTTTCTGTTTGTACTTCCAAAACATTTTAACTAAAGATTAAGAAGGATTGTGATAACGATACTAATCAACAAGATATACAACTTCTGCTTTAGATTATAAAAGATAGTCAATTAGATGAAACAAAAAAAAGGGCATCTAAGATAGAATGCACAAATAATATTGCTGGATGTTATTGAGCTTGTTTTTTTGGTTCTTTTTTATTTATAACCAAGAAGTCCTCGAGGGTCAATAGTGCACGGTTCATAACTCAGTGGATGATAGACCCGCCCCTTTACTCTTCTCCACTTATATAGCAGACTTTTTTTCTGTGGTAGGGTTCGATTGAGCTTGTATATATATGATTATATGGAAGCTGCATAAAGGAATGGGATATGTTTTGATTGTATAGGAAAAAGATTTATAAACAACTGACCCCACCCCCACCCCCTTTTTTTCCCTTTTCCTGTTTTTAGTGATAATTTTTCTGGGATGTGGAATTGTAACATTGATCTTGTAAGAATAATATTGTTGAAATTCAATTTCCGCTTATAATGTATATTGTATCATAATTCTCATTGAAAAATGTTGTAGAAAGGTATTATATTTTCCATTCAGAAGGGATATTGTTTGCTAACCATTAAGATCAAGGGATTTGATCGAATTTTATTCTTTCTCACTATTAAGAACAATGTGTCAACAACGTCGTCAACTCTCATAAAACAACTAGTTGAAATCGATTATATGAATCCTCACTATTCCATTTACGCTCAACTCATGTCATAATCATATCAAATAAAAAACAATGCAAAATGACCATGAGGACCACAATGAATATATTAAAAAGATCAATAACCAACCAAAGCATCATCCCATAGATCATACAAAGAACAGACATTAAAACAAATTAATCAAAAACATCCATCCAGATTCACCTATGTTCACAAACTGATGGTTTTCACAGTGGCAAGTGCAAAATAACAGCCTTACTGTTGTATCAACATTCTTGGTACGATTTCAAACATTTTAGCAAAAGGTTATGATCTGATTAAAGACTAGTTAAGATAAAAAACGATGTAATATGGATTCTAATCTACACTATACACAAATTCTGCTTTAGATGATGTACGCTGAAATTTTGTTACCTCAGCAAGTACTTTAAAAGATTTTTATCTTCCGTTTAACAGGGCTTGGTTATCATTCTGACCAGTGTTGGAGACATGGCCAATAAAACCTTGATAAGATGCATTTCAGCTGCTACTCCTGTTACATCATTAATCTTTACTGTCCTCAGGTGATTAAATGTCATATCTGAGAATCTTTCAGGAATATCATCAACCGCCTCCCGGCGAGCATGTTCAAAATAGTTCTAAGAAAGATTAAGACTTTATATTGCCATTGAAGATAAATGACCTCAGCTTGGGAGCACTAATTTCAATGTGATTTGTAATAGCGTAGTGTTGCAGCACCAAATGCTCAAGCAACGGGCAGTGTGAGATTATACTTCCAAAAAATTCAGAATAAATATTGACTTCAATTAGTGCTAAGCTAATTAACTAATCAAATCCCTTAAAGTGAGATTATACTTCCAAAAAAATTCAAAAGAAATATTGACTTCAATTAGTACTGAAAAAGAGATTGTTTTCGTAAGACCAAAAGCTCAAGTGTATCAAATCCAAGTAAAATAAGTGTTGTTTTAGTTATCCAAAACATAGAAATTTATTATTCTAATTTCAACCTAGTGAAAATCCTCATTCCTCCATTAGTGAAACACATCCATGATAGACCTACACCTGCCAAAACACCATGTCCTTGAAAAACATTAACCCCATAAAGTTTTAGGCAAACCCCACTTCAATTTCATCATATTAAAGCATACCCAAAAAATAAAAATGCAATCTTGATATCAAAATTCTATAGAACAAGAACCATAAAAGCAGAGAGTTTGTGTTAACAGAGAAGAAGAAGAAGAACTTGAGAGAGGATGAATATGAAGCAGTCTGCTCTGTTTGTCTTCTCAAATGAAGGTGTTGGAAGATACTGAAGAGACAAGCTTTTGAAATTATTTTATTTTGTATGAGGATGAAAGTTAAATTATACTATTATAGTTTCAGTTTTGAAGTTAACAATTTATTTTGTAACGAATGTTGAAAGTATTTTTTATTTATGAGAATTTTATCATTTTTTGAAAATTTTGAAAATATATTTAATCTCTTTTTCAATCACCGTGTAATTATATAAAAAAAACTAAAGTCAAAACTGAAAAATCCAACTTTATATGATTTGATTTAGTTTTTAGAACTAATAAAATGAAATAGTTAGTTTAGGTTTTCTCTAATTAAAAACTAAATCAAATCGACCTTTGTGCCCCATCTGAAATAAAGAGCAAATTTAATTTCATATTTAACAACTAAAACTTCCTTTTTCATTTTTCTTAATGATTCTAAAAGTTTATATATTAACTCCTAAGTAATATACAATTTCTTGTTTAATATTTTGTATATCTTACGGTCATCTTACATGTTAAAGTATGTAATATCTTATTTAAGATGCATCACAAATATTAAAATAGAGAGAATATATATAGTAGCAGAAAAAATTAAGGAAAAGATAATTAAGACACATTTAAAGTTTCATTTTCTTTTTCCTTTTGCATGTTTTATATGTAAATCATCATGTGTTTTTCATTTTCTACCTGAATTAGCCGGTGACAGTTCCAACTTCCAAAGCCATGTCTTATTTTAGAGATGAATCAATAACAACAATGTTGTGCAAACTCTTTGTTAGTTCTGCAACACACAACATAATTTCAAAATAAACAACCAAAGTCTTAAATCAATAACAAGCATGAAATTTAAAACCATCTCTGTTCCCAAAAAAGAGTATTCAAAAAATTTATCCAGGGTCACAATTCTATGTTTCCGAGCAGATAAAATCTTTATAGTATATTAAAGCAAAAGTAAAACACAGCCTTGCTACTCCATCAACTAAAATTCTCATTTCTGTTTGTACTTCCAAAATATTTTAGCAAAAGATTAATAAGGATTTTGATAACGATACTAATCAATAAGATACACGGCTTTTACTTTAGATGATGCCCGTTGAAACTTTGTTATCTCCGTGAGTACGTTGAGAGATTTGTTAGTTTTCATTTCACGAGGCTTGATTACCATTTTCACCAGTGCTGGAGACTTTGCCAATAAAACCATGATTAGATGCATTTCAACCTCTTCTAATAGTACATCATAAAACATAACTGTCCTCATATGGTTAAATGTGATATCCGAAAAGCTTGCAGGAATCTCATCAACAACCTCCTGGGGCACACATTCGAAATAATCTCCATCACTAAGGATACATTCCTAAGAAAAATAGAAAAAACCATCCAATTATTACATACGAATATAAAAAAATGAAAAAGATAGAGAGAAAAATAAACATTAGTGACAACCTTAATTTTAATTTCTACCAAATTTGTAGAGCTCCGTATTATGCAAAGAGCAAACGAAAGCTCAAAGAACACTGCAAGAGTAATCCAAGACATAAATAGGCGTTTCAGACAGTTAAGAACTGATGGAAGCCTTGTTGGTATAACTTTAGTTGATCCATTATCGACCTACGAATATAGTGCCAAAAATAAGGATGACTGAAATTCCAAAAAAAAAGCACACATGAAAATTCATTACCATTAAGTAAAATTAAGGAACATTAGCTCAAAAAGATCACAGCTGAAACACTGGAGAGATGGAACAGACCAAAAAATATTGACAAAATCATCTTCGTCATCCAGAACTAATTCTCTAGGCGCATACAGAACATTGGAAAGAACAGGGACATTTTCAAGATGTATCAATTGTAGATCGCCACGAAAGACAAATGACCTTAGTTTCGGAGCGTTAATACTCATGAAGTACGGATTGTGTATGTCTTTCAGCACCAAATCCTCAAGCAACGGGCAATTAGAGATCAAACTTTCAAACATATCAGAAGATAACGTGATAGATTTCAATATTAGCCTAATCAACTTATTAAATCCCTTAAAGAAACATGGAAGCTGTATTTCACATTCCTTGAAATACAAATGCATCAATGCTGAACAATTTAAATTCATTGATTAAATGAATATTAAGGTTGCTAAGTCAATCAGGAGAAGGTAAACTAAATCCTTGTTAATCAAGAGGCATGACAATCTGTAGAAAGTAAACAAAAGTAGGATAGGTAAGGTAAAGGTACACACTACATGAACAACAAACAATCATGTCACAACTCTAAGATTAAAAGAAAAGGTACATAATCGGAGGCAAATGTAACCTTTTTCCATGTTTAAAAAATGCTAAAGAAATTATTTGTAGTTGACATTTGCATTGATTTCTTTAATCTGCAACTCTTGATGTAAATTTGTTTGGCTTAGGTTAAATCAAACAGATATAAAGTATTTTTGTATAGAATTTGAAAAAAACTTAGACGTTTAAATTAGTGATGTTATACTTGTTGTACTAGAAATTTATAGTAATGAGTGCTTACAGCAAACTACTATAGGAATGACATGTGTTTGTTGTAACATTATAAATGAATAGATAATACTTAACACTTCCTTTAGCACTAGAGGTGTCATTTGGTAGTATATATAAAAATAATTTGTATGATATTTTAGTACAATGTTTGACCGTAAATTTAACTATTGTACAACTAATACTAGCATTACAATTAACCTCTTTTGGCATATATGACCCCAAACATTTGTTCTACAAGAAGCAAAAAATATTAATTTAGTGAACTACTCACTTAATTTCAATATTTTGGTGAAACATAATAAAAAGATACATCCTCAAATTTTAATTTATTTATAACCTATTAATAATAACACCAAAATCATGAGAAATGGTATTATTTTGTTAATTCAAATATTCATATCCAACCCCATAATCAAACCTAAAACCATCAAGACTTGAATGAGAAATCAGATTCCTATAAATTTTTTAAAAAAATTGATCGTTGAATAAGGTGATATTTATTATTCAAGACTAAGACATAAGTCCATATGCCTTTAATTTATGTTTTCTCAAGATAAGATAATTAGAATTTCACAACTCTTTTACTTTTTCGTAATAGTGTAATTATTTGAAAAACTACAATCTTAAGTGAAACAAGTTTGAAATAACTTATATTTTGTTGCTACCACCACCATTACACAATGAATTTAGATACACCCATCATCAGACTATATTTCTTGTTATTGTTGTTTTAATTAGGGTTTCTTCCGAGGGTGACTTAATGCCTTTAAATATGAGGCATATGACTTAATCCCCAAAAATAGAAGGGCCTATTTTTTTAGTAATAATAAAATTATCTTCAGCTTTTTAGCAAAAAAAAAAAGAATGTTTTAATTTGTTTAAGATTCTTTTTTATGGACCATTTTTTAAATTTAACTTTGACATGGTATTTTATCAAAAAGAAAGAAATAACTTGAATCTCACATTAAAAAAAAAAGTAATTAAAATTTAGGCTTCCAACTTATCTTTGACTTTAGACAACTAATTAACTTGAGCCGTCACTGAGCTTACTTATCAATTATGTTTACTAACTAATGCTAAAATATTCAATTAAGAAAGGACATATGTTGAATACTGATTAATTTTTTCTTTTTTGATATTTTTTACTTGTTATTTACTTTCTAAGCCACCTTAATACCAAAAAATTTGTATTTATTACATTTCAAAATAGTTCTAGGAGGTATTAGGACATATAAAGAAAATGTGTATTCTTAAAATTTCGACCATAGTTCAAGGGAGTACTTATGATTTTTTTCAAAATAAATAAAATAAAATAAATATTTACAAACTTGACAATGTTTTGTTAACCTCATATTCAATCATTTTAAAAATACAATACTGACCAGGTTCCTGATGCAGGAAGAAAACAAGATACAACACAAGTACAAGGCTACAATCGGGATGCTCTTAGTGATCACACTAAGGATAGGCGCACCAGTTAAGAATGGAATGTAAATATTTGTTCAATCAGATCAAATCTCACAACATGTGAAATCAAAGCCGCATTCAAGGAAAATCAATCAAGGATATCGAAGATAAAATCAAGGGAAAATGTTAAGGAAACATCATCATAACATTATTTACAAAGAGTATAAGATAAATCAACTTAAGGAAAGGATCAAATCATACACGACTAGCAAGCCAAGACTCTAAATCCTCACGCAAGGAAAGAATCGATCTATCATGCACATATCTAATATGCACATGATTCAACAGATCAATTACAAATGACTCAAGGATAAGATCAAAGATACTTGATTTAAATACCCTTGGGTTTCTCATAAGATCTTACACTATCTAAAACCTACTCTGCCAGTTCTGTGAAGCACATAGCTGTTAGACTATTGACCATCTTCCAGCCAAAGTCCCATGGCCTAATTCTACTTGAAAAAGTATTGGAATTATTCTCTTTATTTTGTTTCCAATTCTATTAGAAAAGTGATTGGAATTGTAATCCGATTTGTAGTTGGTTTTGGCTTTTTAAGGAAAAGCACAACTGTATAAATAGAGGATGGTATTGAGAGAATAATTCAATTGCTCATTAATATTATCTTTGAAAGTCATTAGAACATAATAGAGGTTTTGGAGAGAGCTTTCAACAAGAGAAAAGAGAGAATGAAAAGGATTATTTTGTTGTAGTCTTTTTCTCCGACAAGCAATATTCAAATCGTGTTTCCCAATTAACTTACCATTGGAGCGTGCTGCAATTTGGAGTAAGTGTTCCTTACATCTTGGTGGTTGATTTAAATGATGGAGATCGGATTCGGAGGTCAGCAAGATCCTGTTTTAGATCTAGAACAGAAGTTGAGTTTAAGTAATGTTTCTTTCTATTTATCTTTTGTTTGTGTAGCTATTGTTTGTTCTTTTTTGGCACTTGTTGTGTAGCCATTAGAAGAATATTTTTAAACCTCTTATTCATATAGTGAAGCAATTTGTATCTTGTCGATCCCGTGGTGGTTACCTTCGATTTGAAGGGTTTTTCCACGTTAAACGTGATGTTCTTTATTGTTAGATATTTAATTTCGTCTTTTCATCACAACAACTGGTATCAGAGCTAAGGTTATCCATATGGAGGGGAATATGAGCAAGATGGTATGTCTAACTGGAAGAAACTTCAACATATGGAAAAGCAAGTTGAAAGATCTACTGTTCGTGAAGAAGATGCATCTTTCAGTTTTTTTGCTCATAAACCCGAGAATGTTACCAATGAATATTGGGAATTTGAGCACTAACAAGTATGTGGATATATAAGACAATGGGTTGAAAATAATGTTCGTAACCATATTGTGAATGATACACATGCTAGAACATTGTGGGAAAAGTTGGAGACGCTTTTCGCTTCAAAAACTGGCAATAACAAGTTGTTCTTGTTAAAGAAATTTATTACCTTTAAGTACAAGGAGAGCAGTTATATTCTGTATCATATAAATGATTTTCAGGGTATTCTTGATCAGCTATCAGGAATGGGTGTTAATTTTGATGATGAAATACAAGGACTTTGGCTTCTTAGAACTCTACCAGAATCTTGGAAACTCTTCGTGTTTCTTTAACAAATTCTACCACTGGTGGAAAGGTGACTATGGAATATGCAAAAAATGGTGTATTGAATGAAGAGGTTAGAAGAAAATCTCAAGACATATCTTCACATTAAGATATTCTATATACAGAAGATCGAGGGAGACATAGGACAAGAGACCCGAGTAATAGAGGTAAAAGCAGAAGAAAAATTCAAGAATCCAAATATTATATGTTATCATTGTGGAAAGAAAGGACATTTTAAAATATTTTGCAAACAATTGAAGCAAGATCTTAAAGAAGGGAAAAAGGAAGAAAACAATGAAAATAATGTTGTTCATGTTGTCCAAGATGACCTTCTCTTCGCTTGTGATAAAGACGTTATCAATTTTGTATCTCAAGATACAAGTTGGATAGTAGATTCTGGAGCCACATCACATGTCACACCAAGAAAAGACTTCTTTTCATCTTATACTTATGTTAACTCTGAGGTGTTAAAGATGAGTAATGCTTGTGAGGTTAAGGTGTTCAGTATTGACACTGTTTGTTTGAAAACCAATACTGGTTTAACGTTGGTCCTTTAGAGTGTCAAGCATGCTCCAGACATTCTGTTAATTTTGATCTCTGTAGGACAAGTAGATGATGATAGCTACCAGAATGACTTATTCAATGGCCAATGGAATCTCACCAAAGGCTCATTGATTTTAGCTCGAGAAAGAAAACATTCAAATTTATATGTGACACAAGGATCGATTCTTGGTGACTCTATAAAGTTGGTGGAGAGCGAGGCTTTATCAGAATTGTGGCACAAGAGGCTTAGTCATATGAGCGAGAGGGGGATCACCTATTTGTCTAAGAAGAATTTTCTTGCTGGTATGAAAAAAGCAAATGTGAAAAGATTTGTTCATTGCATAGCAGGGATATAGAGAAGAGTTTCTTTTCACATTCATCCACCTTCAAGAAAGTCTGAGCTATTGGAGCTAGTACACTCAGATTTTTGTGGTCCTTTTAAAGTGAAGTCAAAAGGTGGTGCACTTTACTTTGGTACTTTCATTAATGATCGTTCTCGCAAGATTTGGATATATCCTTTAAAATCGACAAATCAAGTGCTTGATGTGTTTAAACAGTTTTAAGTCTTATCTGAGAGACAAACGGAAAAATGAAATTAAAATGTATTCGCACTAATAATGGTGGTGAGTATATTGGTCCCTTTGATAACTACTGCAAATCTTAAGGAAATCTTCATTAGAAGGCTCCTCCAAAGACTCCTCAATTAAATGGTTTGGCAAAGAGGATGAACAAAACTTTAGTTGAGAGAGTTGAATATGTGCTTTCATAGACTAAACTTTCAAATTCATTTTGGGCTGAAGAACTTAACACTGTTGTTTATGTTATCAATTTGTCTCCTGTTGTTGCTTTGAGTGGTGATGTTCCAAACAAAGTTTGGTTTGATAAGGATGTCTTTTATGATCACTTGAATGTTTTCGGGTGTAAAGCTTGTGTGCATGTTCCATAAGAT